TATTATTCCAAAAATGAAACCTTCATCTGGTTGCAAATATTAAGATTAAGAGTCTTTCTGTAAAAAAAATTGATTTAAATCAAATCTTACTGACTAGTGATTTAAATCAAACCCACCCTGGCCACAGTCCACAGAACATAATGGAAATCCCTTATGGCAGCCACCAGCTTCCAAGGCCCATCCGTCCTTTATATTTTGTACCTGGCAAGCCTGATCTCAAGCTCTCCACTTCTAAGTTGCAAGTGGTACAAGGTGGACCTACAGTTTCAGCTCATCATCCTTCACTTGTGTGTAAAACTGAGTGAACAAGCAAACTGTAAGCTGGACACTGCTGAAATCAAGACACCTGCATCTAGAGGAATTTGGTCCGAGATCTGCCTAGTGTGGCACAGTGGCAGCGTTCTTCTCTGCCCTCCCCCACCTCAATGCCATGGGCCGATTACAGATGAAGGGAAATATATTTTCCATAACCACAGAGGAAATGTAAACATTCTGTTTGGTTGCAATGAAGTATGGAAAAAGGGAGTACTGTACAAGAGAGGAAAATTCAAGTCTGTTGTAGCCAGCAGATGTCAAAGAGATAAATAATTACCTGATATTCAGAAGACATCTTTAAGGCAGCCCTGTTCAGGGAAGTTTTTAATATGTAACGCTGTACTGTTTTTAACACTGATTGGGAGCCGCCCAGAGTGGCTGGGGAAACTCAGCCAGATGGGCGGGGTATAAATAATAAATTATTATTATTATTATTATTATTATTATTATTATTATTATTATTATTCCATGACTTCCCTACCGCTACAAAATTTACAGATCCCTTTTCCCCCAAAAATCTAATACACATACATATATACTATGTATTTTATAGTTTTGTCTATTTTTTTGGTCTCTATGCATATTTATGCATGGCTTTCAAATATTAATTGTTGTAATAGAAACATCTTGCATAAAAGAATTTGACAATGCACAACATTGCCTTCACTAACCAAGGATTGCTGGCCTCTGTAGTGACTGGAATTTGGCATTTTACAGAACTAGTGGGTCAAATATTCTAGAAAGTGCTTGTACCAGAACCTCTTTTGAACACTTCTGGCTTTGGCAAATAAACTGAGAACTTCAACGGCCTTTAGCATAGCTCCTCTTAAAAGAAGATACGCACAAATGACTGTGACTAACCCAAGAATCCAATATTGCCATTTTGGGAGACAGCTCGTAGAGAGCAAATCAGCATGTTGCAATTGGGGTGAGGGGAAGGAAGCCAAACTCATTGTTGGGAAGGAATCAATAAGGCAACCCCACCAGCAACCCCTTGTTCAGTGGGTTCTCACTGTATGGAATGAATCGGAGAGAAATGAGAAAAACCAGGGCCTAATACAGTATAGGGACGCGGGTGGCGCTGTGGGTAAAAGCCTCAGCGCCTAGGGCTTGCCGATCGAAAGGTCGGCGGTTCGAATCCCCGCGGCGGGGTGCGCTCCCATTGCTCGGTCCCAGCGCCTGCCAACCTAGCAGTTCGAAAGCACCCTCGGGTGCAAGTAGATAAATAGGGACCGCTTACTGGCGGGAAGGTAAACGGCGTTTCCGTGTGCTGCGCTGGCTCGCCAGATGCAGCTTTGTCACGCTGGTCACGTGACCCGGAAGTGTCTCCGGACAGCGCTGGCGCCCGGCCTCTTGAGTGAGATGGGCGCACAACCCTAGAGTCTGTCAAGACTGGCCCGTACGGGCAGGGGTACCTTTACCTTTTTTAATACAGTATATGTGTAATCCATGAAAACAGGGGTGGGGCTTTTTTCTGTTGAGGGCCACGTGCCCTCTGGGGTAATCTGTTAGGGGCCACATGCTGTGCTGTGAGACAGAGAAAACCATACTGGATTAACTAATCTGAAATAAAGACCACCTTACTTGGTGTTTCGCCATGGTCACCTCCGATCAGAATACTCAAACCTATGCAGGGCTACTCAGAAGCCCAACTGTGGCTCCTAGAAGCTGTCAGCACGCGACACCAGTCACACTCAGGAATGGCTTAGACTGGCTGGCTAAACCAAGTGAGGGTTCCTGATGGGTCTCAAACCCTCAGTGAGTTACGGATGAAAGCATGCAAAGACCGGCTCCAGAAGACTGAGTGGGTAAGACCAATAGTGGATCCAATGGTCAAGAAGGCGGTTTCTGTGCGCGCTGTAGAAGGAAGTGAGGGACAGAGGCGGCTTGTCCACCTGGGAAGGTAGCCAACTGGGGAGAAGCAAAACTCTGATCCCTAGAAATGGCGAAGGAATAAACCCTGTACGAATTTGGAGTGGAGTCCCTAAGACAGTTGGATGGTGCTTTGTATTCCCCTTCCGGCAACTCCTGCAGCCAAGCTGGTGCCAAACATATTGCTCCGCTTTCATTTGGACCACATCAGCGAGACCAAGAGAGGGGTTTTGTTATTTGAGCGGCCTAGGACCTCCATCCCCACTGCTCAGGCTTGCACTCTGAGGAGGTCACTTTGGTGCTGTTAAAGCAGCAAAAATAACGTGGGAGGCAGCAGTTACAAGCTGTGATTCTCCGGTGGTTTGGCTTCACCCCCAGAGGCACACCCCATTGTCTCTTGAGACAGACCGATTCCAACCAAGTATGCATCACCCTCCTGTCTACCAATTCTCCCTTGTAAACGTCCTCACTCACCACCCACCCCAACTGCTTAAATATTATAAATCAAATACGGTGTCAAAAACCCCATGTTAGTTTCTTAACATGTTTACTTATTTTATTTGTTTAATTTGTATACTGCCCTTCATCTGAAGATCACAGGGCAATACACGACACAGTATCACATAATTTTACAGTTGGAAGAGACCTGAAGGGTCATTCAGTCCAACCCCCTGCAATTCTGGAATAAAATATGTACAGCTGCAATAGAAATTATTCAAGCCCATTGCAAATCAGGTTTATTATCCAAATTTAGACTTTCAGCTGTTTGCAATGAGCAAATCAAACAAAAGCAATTGAAATAGCTCAACACAACAGGTGCTTAAATTGGTTCCCCCAAATTCAGCTGACAATGCAACTTATACTGGCTTCTCCAGTCTCACTTTTATCCAACCCCCTCAACAGAATCCCTCACAACCGCACAAATACAAGTGTTCTCTAAAGCACACCTGATGCAAGTAATCAAGGGCTTCATTAGTTGCACCAGGTGTGCTTGAGCTGAAACACATGAAATAGCTGAACTGACTAGGGGTTTGCTGAGTGTCAAATTTGGCTGCATGTTAGAAATATGGCTACGTCAAGAGAATGGTCCAAGGTAAGAGAAGAGATCATTGCCCTTCACAAACAAGGAGCAGGATACAAGAAGATAGTGAAGGCACTGGATGTTCCTAGAGACACCTTGGAAGTTCAAAGTTCCAACTTGAATGTCACAAATTCAAAGTTAATGAAACAGTGGTTACACTACCTGGACAGGGCAGAAAAAGGAAGCTATCTGTGGCAGCAACATGATTTCTGATAAGGCAGGCTGGGAATAGCCCTCAAGTGGCTCCAAAAGAGCTGCAGCAAGACTTGGTGGCAGCAGACACCAAGGTTTTAGTGAGCACAGCAAGGCGCATACTAAACGCAGGTGGTTTCTATGCTAGAACTCCAAAACACACACCACTACCGACCCATGGGACGTTTGGGGAGTAAATGTGGACTACTGGAGAGCTTTGGATTCACTGGATCCAGAGTCTAGAGTCGTCCGTGACTGGACCTAACGGTTAGGGGTCCCTTTACCTTTAAATGTTGTGAGATGCTAAGATTCAGAGTATTACTTTTACAGACTTCACCAGAAATGACCCTGCTCTTTATTATGCTCTCCTCCAAAATAAAAGCGGGGAGGTTGGAATAAAAAAACCAAGGAAGTGTAATTGCCAGAGGCTGAGCTAGCTGCTCCAGCACCCTAAGGGGCACACATGCTGTGTACCCAGGGGCGGGGCTAGCCGCCCAGGTGGGGGGGAGGTCGAGAGTCCCGGGGATGCCACCCATGGCGAGGGTCCCAGGGGGACAGCACAGCAATGTCAACCCCCCCCTCAGGGATGACACCTGGGGCGGACCACACCTACCGCCCCCCTTCCTCCACCAGTGCTAATTGCTACCCTGAATTATCCATTAAACGCATGCCTCACAAGTGTGGACTTCTTGCAGTGTGCTCCTTTACAGGATTTACTCAAATTAAATCCTACCAATCCCTAGTAAGCTTTGTTTAGTTTTGCAATTTGAGGCTGGAAGGCAATTTCTGCTTACCTGGGAGCAAGCCCCATCCTCAGTTACTTCTGAGTAAACCTGTATAGGATTCTGCCTAGACTAAAAATGCCCTTCATTATATACAACTGGGAATGACATATATACACAGAAGGGCATTTTAGGCAGAATCCTACACAGGTAACTCTGTGCATGCTGTGTGTGTGTGTGTGTGTGTGTGTGTGTACACTGTATAATGTATCTAGATTCAGGTAGGTAGCCATGTTGGTCTGAAGCAGTCTATATATATATATATATATACACACACACACACACACACACACACACACACACTCACTGTCCAGCAGCACCTTAAGAGATCAACGAAGTTTGTTCTTCGTGTAAGTTTTCGTTTGCAAGCACACTTCTTCAGATACACATACACACACACTGAATGACATTTTTAGTTTATGAAGAACTCTATGCAGGTTTACTCAGAAGTAAGTGAAGCTGGGGCTTGCTCCCGGGTAAGCAGAAATTGACTTCCAGCCTCAGACCACAATACTATGTAAGCACATTTAGCAGGGAGGATTATCCATGTATGTATGTATGTATGAGTCGTGTGTGTGAGATTAACAGCGTTTAGTTCCAAGTGACGGCACAGCAGAACGGAAGCCTATCCGAGTTTACCAATATCCTGCGAAGCGCCGCGGGACACGAAGGGCGGAATACTAATTAAATATAAATAATACACGTCCAATTTTCGCCTTTTAAAACCGTCTCTTCTAAAAACAGAGGAAGGCACAAACCTGAGGGTGGAGAGACGCGGCTCCCCTGAGGGCCGAAGCCGCGCGGGAACCGAGGGAGTCACGCTGCCCTCCGGGGCGCCGCCATCTTGAGGCTCCTCCCCGCCAAGGAGGAGCAGAGGCGGGCCGGCGGCGGCGGCGGCTTCCGTGGCCCCCGGGGCGCGAAGAGGGCCGGGCCGGGCCGGGGCGAGGCCGGGGAAGCCGCCTGCGCCAGCGAGCGAGGCCTCGGCCGCCCCCGGAGCCGGGCAGCGCCGTGGGGCTTCGGAGGGAACCTGCCCCCCTCGGCCCACGGGGTAACTTTGTCCAAGAATGAATTTGCTGTTTTCGTTTTTATTTCGAGAAAAACAAGCAGAGGCAGATCATTGTGGGGCCGCTTTCAAGGAGAGGCTGGGGCCGCTGTGATTGTCAGGACGTTGGAATAGCTCACGCAGAGAATGACTTCATTTTTATGCCAGCAGCAGCAGCAGCAGCAGCAGCCTCGCTTCAGCAGGAGTTGTGTACGGAAAAGTGGAAGGCGTGCTTTGCATAATCCACTAGACCACAGCGACTCTCATATCTATCTGTGTATCTCTTATATATATAGATAGATAGATAGATTTGCATTGTGCATGCCTTGCCTTTGCATTATCCGGGTGAGAAAAGCAGGCACGTTCAGGGGACGGAGCGAGTCGGGAGAAGTTGCACCCCAAAGGTGAACTTGCGTTGCAAGGAATTGCACCTTGCATTGCCGGCTTCACTTTCAGGCTGCCTTCGCCGGCGGTTCCCACGGAAGGCCCTGCCCCGTGTTGGACCCCGGGCACCAATCAGCGCCTGCCGGCCCTTCTCATCCCCTCCCCGCCGCTTCCTTCTCACTTTCCGCCCTGCCTTTTTCTTGCTCTGCCCGCCTCTGGCCCCAACCGGCCCCCGAATTTCCAATTCGGGAGGCGGCGCCTCGTGGCAGCGGCAGCAGCAGCAGCAGCAGCAGGAGGGACCTTCCCCGGAGTTGTGCAAGCGGCTGTGAGCAGCGCCAGGAAGCCAAGCAGGTTTTGTGAGTGCACCCCACACAGTGGAGCTGGCAGTTTAGTTGTGTAAGCAGTATCTGCAGGAAGACAGAGGAGAGAAGGGTAAGCTCAAACCACCCCCTCTTTCTCATGTGGAATGAATTTTAAAAAGTGGGGAAGGAGGAGGTAATGTTGCTTTGGGTCCATTGTTGATGGGACTCTGTGATCCCCCCCCCCCGCTGGGATGGTGCTAGGTGGGTGGTAATCCCTGCTAGCAAGTACCATATCCCTGTCGTTTTGGATTTTTCAGCTGCTGGTGGTAACTCCGGTTATTCTGAATGCTGGAAGGTTCAGGAAAGATAAAAGACAGTGCTTCCCCAAAGAGCACAAAGGCAAACTGCAGAACTCCCTCCTGCAAGAAGCAGGGATGGCACCAACTTGGAAGGCTTTAAAAAAGGATGAGACAAATCCATCGAGAGAGGAGGGCTGTCAGCAGTTACTAGTGAGGTGGCTCTGCTCTGCCTCCACAGTCAGAGGCAGCAAGGCTTCCAAAAAGCAGTTGCTGGAAGCCACAGGAGGGGAGAGATGCGCTGGTGCTCATGTTCTGCTCACTGGTCTCCTGCAGGGATCTGCTTGGCCACTCAGAGAACAAGATGTTGGACTAGAGGATCCAGGAGGCTCTTCTTCTCTTCTTATGTCCCATCCATACTTCCCTCAAAGTGCTTACTGCTGTAATTGGGGGGGGCAAGTGGAATGTGAGAGGGCTTATTTGAGTATGCTGTCCTGTGTTTTATTACAGCTGTTGAAATATGCCCTCTGAACAATTTAGAAAAGGACAAATGCTTTGTTTATGGACCCTGTAAGCCAAATTTTAAAAGGGCAACAAGCCCTTAAAGTGGGAGGGGGGAGAGGGGAAGCAATGTGCAGTGTTTAAAAGAAGCACCAAGTAAATTCCTTGCACATTTGAAGGGTGCACCTTGAGTAAATAAGGGGGGGGGAGAGAAGTAAGGTAAATAAAGGACACAAAAATGGTGCAAAGTGTGTCACTTTAGATATTAAGGTGAGTAAACTTTGTAACTTTGGCGGGCTATCTACAACTTGGTTTTAAGAGGAGTTGAGCTCTCAAAAATTCAGTTGCAGAGGCTGAATTATATCCTGTAGGTCAGGCATCCCCACCCAACCGTCGGCCCTTCAGATGTTTTGGACTACAATTCCCATCATCCCTGACCACTGGTCCTGTTAGCTAGGGATCATGGGAGTTGTAGGCCAAAACATCTGGAAGGCCGCAAGTTGGGGATGCCTGCTGTAGGTCATTTCAACCAAGTGTAAAATGGGGGTGACTTAAGCTCCAATTGCAGAGTTTAAGTCAAAATTCTGAGGTCCGATGAGAAGTATTCTGCAGGTATGAAAGGTTAGCTGCTGTTAAAGCAGTTCTAAAAGTGTGGAGCATAGTTTGAAGTAGATGCAGGTGTTTTTAATACAACAGATTTTCATGCTGAAAAGCCTTCCAGTGAAGAAATACAGGAATTAATAAAGGTGAGCTATATCTTGCCCTCTGCTTCCAAGCTGTGAATGCCATTGCTTCTATAGATAAACCAGCACACACGCACCACACATGAAAGGGAGGTGTAAGCTGGCTTGGGGGAACCTGTGGGTTTGCAAGAGAACAGTAAATTGTTAGGGGCAGACAAAAACCTAAAGAGCCCCACTAAGAACTGAACAAACAGAGGTACCCTGCCATGGAATGCTGATTGACAGTGTGGAACCAGGTGTAGGAATGGCATGGAGTGACTAGAATCCTGAGAAGCAGCATTGAATGCCAAAGCACCCAAGGCACAAAGTTCCCAGGAGAACAACAGGTTCAACTAGGCCACAACTTTATTGGTTACAGATGTGAGCAGTTTGGCTTAGGCATTGGGGTGAAGCCAGCTATATCTTGACTCCTGCCCATCTGCAGAGAGTCCACTGAAGGGTAAACCACCAATAAGGGGTGCCCTATGACTTACATTAAATAGGGGGTCCCCGTCGGGGCTGTGACATGGCCCTAGCCCACGTCCAGACTTCGGATAGGATTCACACCCTGGATCCCTTTAACAGGATACCCTTACTGAGGAGGGGCAGGCAAAGGCAGCAACCTCCCCTCCAACCAAACAAAGGTTTACCCAATGCCTAAACTCACCAAAGTTGTGACGATTGCTACTAGGTAGTCAAAAACCAAATGGCCGGTGCCAATATGCCAAGTGGAAAAAATTCCTACCCAGCCTCAACAACATGGCGACCAACAATTGTCCATAGCAAGGTCATATGAGCAAAGCATGAAAAGAGGGTGGGTGGGTTGGGTGATTCGACGAAGGGGTGAGAAAGGGTGCCGGTCAGCCGTGCTGTGATTAAATTGCCCGTGGCCACACCCACCCTGCCAGCTGAATGGCTGGGGCTGTCCCCCAGCAATGGTGACGTGGCTGGAGTGATGTGGGGGAGAGGCGGCGTCCCTCCGCCCGTTTGGCTGGGGAACTGTTGAGACCCGGCTGTCTGGCCACAATGCCTCCCACTGCGTAAAAGGTGAACCGACTTCCATACTGGAACACTTTGCTGCAGGTCTCACTTACCTTTGTATAAAAATCAGTCTGCAAGACTGTAATAGGATCCAGAAACAGACTCCAGGATGGGTATGACTTGATTGCGAGATCTTTGCCTTCTCTCAGTCATGAGAATGATTGTCATTTGTTTGTTTGAGGGAAAATAAAACAGCTGCACTTGGTTGAAATTGTGATGTTGTGATCAAAACCTGCCCTCTCTTCTTTACTCTGGGTGGTCCAGCTCCCATTTACAGGGTCCTGTGGGAATTGCTGTATATTCATGTCAACGTGAAGGGTGTAAAAAGATGCACTGATCCCCCGTCAGGGGTTTCTGCAATATGCAAGCTTTCCTACCCTGTGTACATGGACAGCTATATAAGCGAGGTGCCAAATGGCTCCTTAAACCAGGGTTACAGCTGCCAAAACAGAATGTCTAGTTGCCATTTGGGGGCAAGACAGCTCCTAAGTCTTATTTTGCAAATGATTGACAGACTGTGATTGAGAATCAGTTAAACATTTGGCTAGTTCAGATGACAACTTTGAGCTAGGTTAACAGCTTTGAGAACTTAAAGAAGACAAGTCACTTGATCCAGGGATAATCAACACACAGTATATATTGGCCTATTCCAACCTCTTTTTCTTAATGGTGACTGCTCCTGCTCAGGCTGCACAGAAAAAACATTTTTTGTTCCTGAAATTCATTTTGATTATGCAGATAAAATATAACTGATAGAATTTTACAGGATGTTGTATGAGTGTGTGAAAAGCGTCCTGATCCAATGATCCCCAGGCATGAAGCTCCAGGTGGTGAGGCCGTCAGGTGCCATCCTGGCGCCCAGGCAAGTTCACTTGGACACAAGTGGTTGATAGCCGGGTGCAAAATGCTCCTGGTGCCTGGCTAATTTCAAACACTACTTGGATTGCCATGTTTTTGTTTATAAGGAGAAGGGCTGGAAAAGATCTTTGGACTTCAGTCAGCCCAGCTAATATTGGGCTATCGAAGGCATGACTTGCTATAAAGCAGATTCATCTATTTCTTTCCCTTTCCCTGCATGTGTCAGGAATCCCAGTGTGTTTGTCAGCAAGGAAACGAGGCACTCTTTTTTTTTAAAAAAAGATATTTATTGAGATTTTCCACAATACATTAAAAAAAATCAAAAAAGAAGAAAACAAAAAAGTTAAAAACACATAGAATTTGCAATCCTTATTTTCAATAACATATTTCCCTGACTTCCCCACACCTCCCCTTCTTGTATTCCAGTTCAAAATTGTTAGTTCAACAAGTTCTTATCCCCAATTTTTAACCTTATTATATTTAATTCATTTTAGTTAACCAATTTTAACTTATAAACATCAATATTTGTACATCTGTGCTCATTCTTAAAACCCTTTTCTAAAGTCGACTCAAATTCCCTTCCACAAATTCCCCAATTTTTATACTAATAACAAAACAGAATAAAAAGAAACAGAATATAATTATACACCCTTTGGATTCCCAAACCCCCCCCTTTCCCGGTTCTGATCCCCAACGAGGCACTCTTATGGCCCTCCTGGCATTATGTTTGCACACCTGTTTTCTGACACTGGTCTTGGTATTTCTATTAGTAAAAGTAATGTGAGAACCAACACTCAGTCAGACTGCAGTTGCAGCAGCAGGGGTCAGAGTGACTCATGCTGCAACCTAACACCAAATAGTTTTTGGCCATCCTTTCCAAACAGCTCCCATGAACACATTCTTCAATTCATGGCAGTGGTTGCTATGTTTTCCAGCTCTGACACAAATTGCAGGACAGACAAATTTTACCGGTGTTCCAGTGTACAAGTTTGTGGCTTAAGCCTGGCATTTTTGGTTGTGGGGTTGAATTCTGAAGTCCCTCAGATGGCAGAAGCTGGGGCTGGGAATATATAACTTAGAGAAAATGTCATTTGAGGGTCCATAGCTGAGGTGTGCTTTGCAGGAGTGGAGTAGAACTCTGCCTGAGAGTCTCTAAATAATAATAATAATAATAATAATAATAATAATAATAATAATAATAATAATAATAATAATAATTTATTTATACCCCGCCCTCCCCAGCCAAGGCTGGGCTCAGAGCGGCTTACAAGCAATAATAAAAACAAGTTAAATGATTACAACTTAAAAACAAAATTAAAAATACAACATTAAAATATGGAAACATTAAAATATTAAAATGTAGCCTCATCGCAGGAGGAGAAAGGAAAAAGAAAAAAGAAAGAGGGGGAGGGAATCAAACTGGCTCCAAGCCAAAGGCCAGGCGGAACAACTCTGTCTTACAGGCCCTGCGGAAAGAGATCAGATCCTGCAGGGCCCTGGTCTCATGAGGCAGAGCATTCCACCAGGCCGGAGCCAGTGTTGAAAAGGCCCTGGCTCTGGTTGAAGCCAATCTAACTTCCTTAGGGCCCAGGACCACTAGGGTGTTGCTATTTATGGACCTGGAGGCTCTCCGTGGGGCATACCGGGAGAGGCGGTCCCGTAGCTACGAGGGTCCTAGGCCGTGAAGGGCTTTATGGACAAATATGGACAAT